CGTATGGAACCCGCAGTGCTCAGGCACTTGAAGAACGGGTCGTTCCCAGTATCCCAGTATAAGTACTTGTAAGTAGATGGCTGTCTTCTGCGTTGTTGCGCCGTGTAGTCTGAAAGAAGACAGCCATCTTCAGACTTACAGCCGTGAAAACCTTAAAACCTACATAATTATTAGTAATAATGTCTATACTCTCTTGTATAGTTAGTACACTGTAAACAACTGCTAAAAATATGTATTTGTAATTGTATCAGAAAGAAGTATCGTATTTTTGCTATGCTTAGCTTAGGCCTATAAAGGATCTATGAAATATGAATAAATTGTAACCTATTCTATTTAACTTCTACAGCTCGATCTCCTTCTGAGGAAAAAGCAGGTGTTTTACAGCAAAGTGGTAAGGAAAATATTTTGTGGCCCAAAGGAGATGAAGAACCAAGCCTCTGGATAAATGTAATGCTTATGTACCAATGGCATGTGTGTATGCGCGCGAGACTAAACCTGCCTAAGCGCTAAAAAAACTCAATTATTTCCTGTGTGTAAACGCCCTTAATGAGACCTCAGCTTTGTGATCCTTCGTCTTGGAGTTTAACTGTACTAACCTAAAACAATGACGATGTAAATTATAAAACAAACTAGGAGACTGTGTTTCATTTTCACACTAGTATTATATTATGTGAATCTCCTTAAGCTACACTCTTCTTCTTCTTCTTCTTAATTTTCACGGATTCTATAAGTTCCATGGTCACTTCTGATTCAGAAGTACTAATCCTCAGATATTTAGCAGAACTCTTTGGGTACAAGCCTTCCATACGACAATACGGAAAACGCTTTCATCTAGAGTATAATCCTTTTAGTTATTACGTTACTATGGCTGTCGAAATCTTTGCCAATCATAAATCGTTGAGTGTCTGTTTTAAAACTGTTTTTTCCATAAATTAATCTCGCAATTTCAGGTCTGTATTAATTTGTCAGGTGTAGGCAGTATGTTTCTCCAAAACCTCGGTATCTGCCTAAAAGATCGAACAGCGTTTAGACACAGGACACCAACTTCGTCATGTTCACACATCCGCTTCGAAGAAACACATTTTCTCCATATTAAGCCCTGAAGATGGAGACATCGTGTTTCTCCGAAATGTTGGTATCCTCCTACTAGTCGTCTATGGTACCACAATCCAGAAGAACGACATCGTTAGATTAATATCCCATTATGTGCCTGCTGCATGGCATTCTCATCTGCAACGACTCCCAACTAGCTTGTTCGTCCCTACTTGACATGCTCCCTCTTGGACCAGCCACTGACATTTGAGGGCTGCACCAGGTCAGAAATTCTACGACTTTCTAGGGCCTACCACTATAATCTGTGTTCATATCTGACGTTGGGTTTACATTCTTGGACTGAGTTAATGAGTGCATGCGTCGGAAATCTTAAAGTCCCATATATCATTCATCAGATACGAACTGAAGACAGCTCAGTAGGATAAGAGGTTTTCAGGGCGATGAGTCCGAAGATGGCTGTCTTCTAGGTTGTAGCAACAACCCAGAAGACAGCTATCATCTGAAGACGGCTCAATCAAATTTTATTAAAATTTAAGATTGTCAGACAATATAAAGGTTCCCCAATTATTTCACGGATTTTACAATGCAGATGTAATCATCAGGTGAGTCAAAAAACTTAACAAGGTTGATCCCATTATTAATAGTAGAGGTCTATAGTGCCTCTCCGTATGCAATAAATAATTCTGTTCTATATCGACGAATATTTTATGGAATTTAACTTCTAAAAATGTACAGAATGTCCCAAAAGATGTATACTTACATTAAATGAATGAAACAAAGATACTTTAAGAAACTGAACCATTACATACGTCAGCATTAGCACTCAGTAAATTAGCGTATCTTGTGTAGGTGTTTATAATGACCAGAGTTAACTTCGTGGCGCAGTTGACAGCGATGCACAACTGACTGACAAGCAGCCACCAAAGTTGCTGTTGTGTATAGTTTTTTGTTGTTGTTGTTGTTGTTGACATTCTGCATTTATTTGTGCCCAACAGTTCCATCATTCTTGTATAATCACCATGCTAAAGTTACGTTAGGAGTAACATTTATAAACTTCCTGTTGGACAATTATCTCCCTTTTCTCGTACTTCCTCTTCGTTAGTTTGAATGTTCCTTTTATAATTTATCTTCTTAAGTTTCTCCGTCAGAAGATTTACGCATTATTTAAGGCAAGCACTCTAATTTTACTTTAACACATAACCTACGACTTCTTTTGCATGTCAGACTGTAAATACGTGTAATGCCATTTAGGTGTTGTACAGAGAAACAAAAATATGCAAAAATTAACATAAATTAGCAACATAATAAAGTTAAAAATGTGACGCTGTCTCTTATGCATAACTAAGCATCACGCCATGCTCTTTTTTCGTTATCTGATCGGATTTTCAGTAACGTCTGTCATTAGAGCCTCTTGTTCCACTCCTGTGTTCAATCGACTGGGCCCGGCTAAAGCAATGTCCAAATTACTACAAGGACAGCTGTCACCTCTATTCTTGCTTCTACGCTATTGAAGTTACATAAAACTGATGGCCCAGCAAACAGTAGCACATACATGCAGGCTAGCTCATTGAAAAATAACATGTGTTAAAACAACTGCTTGCTACGAACCTTTCGTCGGCCCGTAAAACTCGTCTCCGATCCCCTATTGTACTGTGGCACGCACATGCAGGCTATGCCTCAACAATAAATAGTTACAAAATGGTTCAATCACTTGTAAGGAGAGTTCGTGTGTCTTTTTAAACTTTAGATGTCAAAAATAATAGGGATAGTCCTTTGGAATTCATGGTCCCATAATAATATCTTATCTACCGATCCCTTCCACATCCTCTAAATTCATCATTCACAAATCACCCTAACATTCGACACAACAACGCAAACTAGACAGTTAAAATAGCATCGTTAAATGAATCAATTAAACACAGCGGATGAGAAAGATTACTGTGCTCCAAACCGATACAGTTTAAGAATAAACGAGAGTTTTAAGAGTCCCTGAGCTTCATTAAGTATGTCACCATAAAGACAGAAACAAGAGTGGAGGCAAAAGTCCACGTATTCAAAAATTTGACACTAGATGGAGGTAACTAGCCAGCTGGAAGCTTCAGGCGCTGTACGCGCGAGAAAAGCCTCCAGTATCTGCAGGATGGAATGTGAGAATGACTCACAGAGTGCGTGCCTGTACATAGCAGCCAAGAGAAAAATCCCTCCGCCAGTCGGGAAAAGAACTTCGCTCTTCCAACCCGTAGCCAGTCTCTCTGATAAGAGGATGGACAGATAAGGAACAATGAAACCTAACCTAACCTGTGTACGCCGCCTTGGACCGCCCTTCACCTACGATATCGAATTCGATTTCCGGCCAAGGTTGGATGAACATCCACGTTTTCCTGTGAATGTAAGAACGACGGGCCGATCCCCCATCTAAGGAGCTGGGCTGAATATCGAACAGATTAGACGATACACAGTCCTCTTTATGGATACGTGAAATGGCAGAAGACGAGTGACTGAGAGAAAAGAAGAGGATTAAGAACGAAAATAATATTATTAGTGCGTTATCACTAAAGTCTTCGACGTGAAGTGCCCTGGATAAAAAGTACCGAAGATGGAAAGATCTGTAAGTGTCAGCAGTACCTAGACTAGGTCCAATACGGTCACGCTGACTGCAGTCATTTACAGTTGCTCGTATACATTAGAAGCCTTTGCCATCACTGAGGCTTCATCATTATTTGGTTAAAGCTCGCTTATAACCCTCAGCATGCAAGACTAGTCACTTCCATTTTTAAGTAAAACAAAACAAAAGAAAACCAATGAAATAAAACACTATTATAATGAAAAGTCTTGGTGCTTGTGAGCGGCTTCATACATGCATGCATGTGAATAAAATAAATCAGGTAGGCAACTTTGCAGAGAGCCACAAATCAAGCAGCAGGGACTTGAAGCCCACACCCTGCGGCCGACACAGCGGGGGGAATCCGAAACAACGCAACATCAATCCATCCGTCTCACTGGCCAGCGAACTGACCAGAGATCGTGGCCAATGTAAGTAACACAGTACAGAAGCCTACATTCGCCGTGTTGGGCTAATGAATCGAAAGTTATCGTCTAACAGCAAACAGTCTGCAAACCGAGTTTCAATTCTCAGCAGCGGGCAGACTGTTCTAGTGGCCACGCTCCCTAATTTTAGGCGACAGGTATCGGGTTCGAATCTCTCTGGGTTGCTGGCTATCCTGACTGAGTTTTTCCGCAGTTTCTTTCGGTATCTCCATGTACAAACCAGTTCCTATCTCTAAATAGGCAATTAAAAATCCTTACAACACTGTCCGGCTCCCTATAGAAACTTAAACAGCGTCGTTAAATAGCGCAAGAATCAGTCGAAGCAAGACGTGACGTTCTCACGGAGTCGAGTCCCTGATGATGGAGGCAGTAAGCAC